TGAGAGGCCTGGTGGTAGAGGAGGAGGAGGAGGTGGCAGGGGTGGTCCAGAAGATCCTGGGACTGGTTCATCTTTTAGATTCAGTAGGACATTGTCTAAGTTGAGTTTTTTTGGCACGTTCTGGCTGGGGCTTTGAGCCAGCCCACCACCATCATCCTCATGGCTTTTGATGAAGGTGTCCCTGTCAGTCTGGACGTGCGCGGTCGGCTGCATTGGATACAGCAGCATCGCGGACCGCTCTGTGCTCTTTACATGTATTATTATATGACTTGTCTCTTTGCATATTAGCAATGATTTCTTCCAGTTTTGATACTGAGCCAGCATGCTCACCACGCAGTTGGAAAACCTTAAGCTCATAGTTGGCCTGAAAGGAGCAAGAGCAGTATGCGAGATACAAAATTAATCCACAGCAATGCTTTTCATTTCCCATCATATAATACAATAAAAACATATTAGCTGATTGATAAAACATTTTCTTGAAGGAACTTGGATTGAAGTGTATATTCTTCCAAGGGGGCAGCATGAATATGATTCTTAGTTGAAAGATAAGGACATTAATATTCTTCAGTTTTGCAAATAACCTTATTCCACTTAAAAATTTCTTAGTTTGAGCTTAAATCTGACTCTTACAGTGAAATCCCGATAACTGCAGTTTTCATCTAACATTTCAAGCAATGAAAAACAACCCACCCAAAGCAAAACACTAATTTGAGACAGAAAGGAATTGTTTTGCAATAAATTTCACATGTTCCTTATTAACTTGAAGCAGCTTAGCAGTAGCATTACACACATTTCCAGCCCTTCTTGTGGGCTGACTGTGGTACATTTTTCATTGTCGGTATCAGTCCCTTAAAGACTGATGTCAAATTAAAGGTTTTAGGAAGACAGACTAAGAAACCAATTCTGAGGTCAGAACTTTCAAGGAAAAACTCCATAAAGCAATTTATTGGCAGTACAAATTACGTAACATGGACAGAGCTATGCTTCCTTTGTTTTTCCAAGCTATTACAACATGCTTGCACTTGAGAAACACCTGCAAAACACTGTTCCAAACCTCTGCTTTTGAGGAATGAAACACTGACACCTTTAAAACCAATTGGAACAAGTCCTTATACTGGAGACAAAAGATACCCTGTGTGGCAGGTTCTGAACATTTGACCGTGAGTACATTTCATATCACTGAATTAATAAAGTTCTATACTAATAGTGAAACTGAAAAGTGCTGATGGTCATAGTGAGAGCCAGAGCAAGGCATTATGCCATTAGGAAACAATGACCACATTTTTAAGGGTTTACTTACTCACACTCCAATGTGATTTTTTGTTAAAAGGTTTGTCATTCTCTGAATCATTATTATATTCATATGTTTTGTATCTATACAGTTTGTCTCTAAAAGAACAATCTGATGAAAACAAACTCTTAAGTTTTGAAAACTAACTTGACTGGCAATTTACATTCAAAAGACCTTTTAATGCTTTTAACACTTCTAGCACTGTAAGTAAACACTCTGCAGAGTTTGCACAGGCTCAGCTGCACCACTTGAACATTTCATGCTCACTTAGTGCCATCTTGTGTCTGGGACAGTGAACTGCTACTGTAGGACACATAAGATAAGGGATTATAAATATATCTACCTCATACACTTAAATAACTGTAGCACATGTACTGCTACACTTTCTCTCACCTTTGTTTCTATTATATACTATGTTAAAACATCCTAAAATCATTTTCTTTAACTAGGCTGCACTCACAGTGATGCTTTGGTTAATTTTCTCTGGTGCACAATGTGCTTTCAGTCAGTGCTCAACTCTGCTTAGGCTAGATGGTAACTTACATGCATTTTCTCCAGCTCTTCCTTGCACTCTCTCTTCAGCTGAAAAAGGGCAGCCTGGTGCTCTGAAAGCAGGCAGAACAAGGACAGTGGCATGTGAACTCAAACTCATTCTGCCAGTTTTGACTGACTGAAATCTATACCAGAGTACACACTTCACTCAAAGCATTGCTGTTTTTTTCTACTATTACTTTGAGAGGAGGGGGTTAGGGTTACCTTTTCTTTTCTAAAAAGAATGGCTAGCAAGCTAATCTGTAAGACAACTAGATGCACTGCTATTCTTACAGCAAGGTGGATCACTTTCACCATAAAGAGCCGTGACTGCAACTCAACCAACCAGTTTTAAATGGTACTGCAGTTTGAAGAGAAGGCCAAAACAAAGCATTTCATCAGGTCAAAACAGAAATAACAACACCTAACCATTGGTAGTAATAAGATGAAGGCAGGGAAGTGAAACTGTCACACACATTATTCACCTAATGTCCATAATGTTACAGTAGTGTCTGGGAACTTAAACAACTTCAGGTTATAATAGAAACACCTTCAAGGGCCAGTGCACTAAGCTGCCCTGGTATTTATCAGCTCATTAAATATTTTGATGTTTCATATTTTCACTTTAAATATAACAGTACCACACTATACCCACATACTGTACCTACCAAGTTGCATGCTGTACAGTACTTTCTATTTATTTGAGGATTAAACTGTTGGGTTTTGACTCCCATTTCTGAAATTGTGTCTTTATTTCTAGAGTACTTACAATTAAGACTAAAATTAAGACCCCATTAAGAAGATGATCTTGTGTGGGACTGATGATCTGGCATAGAAAATCTATAGATTTATTGTAATGAAAAACTCTACTTAGGTAAGAGCAAAGCCCGATCATGGAGAAAAAAAAATTCATCACAATAATGCACACTAGCTGGTCTTGATCTATTTTTAGGAATGAAGCCTCATCACACAAATATCTGGCCACTGTTGCAACACAGTTTCACACTATTCAGAACATGAATGGAAATCTTTGTGTGTTTATTAGAGTACAAGGTGGGCCAAAGATTAATTATTCCATAAAATATTCTTACCTCTACTAACACACACACACTCTCTCTCTGGTGGTGTCTATATCAGGGTGCAGACACAACCCCTCACTCTGCTCTTAAATGCATGCCTTACACCATGCCGTTGATATTTTTCCAGCTCTGCATGATCTGTCTCAGAGGTTTAAAGTGTGAGCACTCAATGGTTTGACAATTGTGACTCTTTTTGTTTCACTGTTTTAGAGTTGAACCTCAGTCAAGGACAAATACCCCTATAAGAGATCCATTCAAAGGACTAAGGTATCTCCACTGGTCCTTATCCACAAAGCCAATCAGTGAGAGGTGTGTCAGTGTAAGCTCCACTGCCAACATTCCTGGTGTGAGATATAAATACAGGCAACAGTGTCCAAAGCTTGAGGTTCATACCTGCCTCTGTGTACTTGAGCCCCACCTTCTCTTCCTCATTTTTAGATCTGGGTGGGGGCCACACAGCTTGCAGACGCCCTGGGGTCCGGTCCTCACTGTCTGCAGGAGACGTGACTTCTGTCTGTGAGAAAAACAAAAAGCATGCAATTATGTGAGCAATAAAGGGAATTGTGTAACATTGACATTCATACTTAGCGCACCGGTATATCTCATGTCTCTGTCAATATAAAAAACTTGTGTAACTTAAATTTAGGAAATGTGTGGTGTACCAATTTGAAATGAAGTGGGGTTACATACATTAGCCTCTGTGGGACTTTTGCCTTCCTTGCTAGGAGATTTGGAGGATCTCACAAAAATTGACCTCAGATTTTCCTTGTCACTCTTGATTTTCCTTTTCACTGTCTCCAGATCCACATCCTCTGTTTTTTCTTTTTTAACTGTTTTGGGGCCAAAAATGTTTCTGAAGGTTTCATAGGCCATGTCTGAGGTTTTCTTTTTTTCAGGTGTGTGTGTGGAAGTTTCTGGGCTTGGGGTTTTATCTTCTGCAACCTCTTCTCCATTCTCAAACTCTGTCTTAACGTGCTGGGGATCAGCATCCTGCCCGTCATCTGACTTGTTGGTCTCATCATGTGTGTCAAGATTAAGCAGGTGACTGAGTTGTCCCATTACAATGCTTTTTGTTTCTGTGACGGGCCTGGGCTCTGTGCGTTTTTTGACTGGACTGGCTGCCTTCTGCTCAGGGAAGAGCTTGGCTTTGTTTACAGTCTTCTTCAGGCTGAGCAGAGCCAGGTCTGCATCCTTCTCCCGCTGCTTGATCTCTGCCACAGTCTCCCTATCTTCACCGACCGCTCCCTTCTTCAGCACCCGAAACCCACTGAACAGAACTGGCATCTGGAAGGAAGCGGGTGAAGAGAGTTGTGTGCCCCTGGACGGGGATGAGGAAGCAAAGGTAGAGAAGGGGAAAACAGGTGACACTGTAGTTGGTGTATTTATTTCTGGTGTCTTTGGAGCAGCGGTACGTTGTGAAGAAGGACTGGCACTGGGCTGAATGTCACCCAGGGGCTCTTCAGGTCTAGGTGATGGTTTGTTAAACTCTGAATTTGTTACAGCAGGAGAGTCTAACTGCTCCTCTGGACTGAAGGACAATTGGACTGGCACTTCAGGAGTCTTGGGGCTAGAGGGACCGGAGGAGGACACCTGGCTGACGCGAGGTTCCTCACTCTCGTTCTTAGCCTCAGCCCTTTGCTCATCTGTTGCCTCCTTTTGTATACCATCTAAGTCCTCTGTCTCCTTCAATGGAAAGGATGCAGCAGCAAGGAACAGAACTGGCATCTGGAAGGAAGCGGGTGAAGAGAGTTGTGTGCCCCTGGACGGGGATGAGGAAGCAAAGGTAGAGAAGGGGAAAACAGGTGACACTGTAGTTGGTGTATTTATTTCTGGTGTCTTTGGAGCAGCGGTACGTTGTGAAGAAGGACTGGCACTGGGCTGAATGTCACCCAGGGGCTCTTCAGGTCTAGGTGATGGTTTGTTAAACTCTGAATTTGTTACAGCAGGAGAGTCTAACTGCTCCTCTGGACTGAAGGACAATCCGACTGGCACTTCAGGAGTCTTGGGGCTAGAGGGACCGGAGGAGGACACCTGGCTGACGTGAGGTTCCTCACTCTCCTTCTTAGCCTCAACCCTTTGCTCATCTGTTGCCTCCTTTTGTGTACTATCGAAGTCCTCTGTTTCCTTCAATGGAGGGGACACAGCAGCACTGTGCCTTCCAGCCCTAAGTTTCTTGAAACCCAAATTTGTTATAACAGGAGAGTCTAACTGCTCCTCTGGACTGAAGGACAATCCGACTGGCACTTCAGGAGTCTTGGGGATAGAGGGACCGGAGGAGGACACCTGGCTGACGTGAGGTTCCTCACTCTCCTTCTTAGCCTCAACCCTTTGCTCATCTGTCGCCTCCTTTTGTGTACTATCGAAGTCCTCTGTCTCCTTCAATGGAGGGGACACAGCAGCACTGTGCCCTCCAGCCCTAAGTTTCTTGAAACCCAAATTTGTTACAACAGGAGAGTCTAGCTGCTCCTCTGGACTGAAGAACAATCGGACTGACACTTCAGGAATCTTGGGGCTGAAGAGACCGGAGGAGGACACCTGGCTGACATGAGGTTCCTCACTCCCCTTCTCAGCCTCAGCCCTTTGCTCATCTGTCGCCTCCTTTTGTATACTATCTAAGCCCTCTGTCTTCTTCAGTGGAGAGGATGCAGCAGCACTGTGCCCTCTGCCCTCCGATTCTCTGTCAGCATCACTTTCATCTATTCCTATGTTTGTGTTACTATTCTCTTGTGCACTCATTGTTTCTACATCTGCAGACCCCTTGGTGGTGCTCTCCTTGGGCGTGAAGGGATACCTGTGTTTGGAAAGTGAAGAAAGCAGAAGTGTCCTAGAGCTTTTTCTGTTAATGAATCTGTCTGAATACAGAATAGCTTCTATGCGGGACCTCTCTTTAAATTTGTGTGCTCTAAACACAGGCACGTTGTGCTCAGCAGCATGGTTTAGCACATCTCCTTCACCCAAGTCCATGGTATCATTGCCCTCCTCAGGTGGGATGCACTCCCTGGCCCTGGCGAGCTTGTCCGACAGACTAGTGCTGCTGTGGGAATTCTCCTTGGCCTCAGTTTCTGTGTCACTGTGTGTTTCCACCCTAGTGAAATGGACTAAATGCACATCAGCTGAGACTCCAGTGACTGCTTTAACTTGTTTGTCAGGGTTCATGCAAGTTTCCAGTGATTCAGCCCTCTGCTCTGTATGAGAGGGAGCAGCCACATCATCCTGGAGTAAATCCTTGCTCCCTTTCATTTGGTTCTCACTGTTGGTAGCTCGCCCACCTTCAGGAAAGGGACTCTTGCCATCTGACAGCTCCTTGAAAGATGTCAGCATGGCTGATTCCATGTCCGAAGAGGCAGAACTGTCCCGGATGAAGAAGCTACTGAAGACATTAAGTAAGGAACTAGCAGCCTGCTTCCCCTGTTCATCTGAGCTAGTACTGTCACTGTCCATTTTTGTTTAAAAATGTCATACCAACTGCGAGCAAAGAGTGGAAGTCTAAACCAAGCAGTAGATCCAGCAAAGTGTCCACTGAAAATGTCACAAAAGGTTAATCTCTCCACTTCCAGTTATCCAAGCCACTTCAATCACACCTCTACTGTTGGCTGGGAACAAAAGGCCTTTGTGTGGATAAATCTCTGCTGCTCCTCTTACCTTCTCCAGTAGGGCACCAAGTGTAACAACACAATCCCGAATAGTGACACACAAACAACCTATAAACACTACTACTGATTATATGTTGTCAGTAGCACAGTTCAGCGTCCTTTGTGCGAACAACATTCCAACAACGCTGCTAGTGAAATGAATCTGTTGGGTGGCTGGAAACATTTCCTGCTGTAATCTCCCTGGGAGTGCAGAACAGAGTTCACCTGCTTTTCACAAAAGCATTTCCAACTGTTCCCACAAGTTGATCGATATTATTCATGAAGCTATGGATAATCCTTCTCTATGTCGAGTCCATGAGTGAACTGCTCTTCTAGTTTGAGTCCGTCTTATTTAGCATGTCTGTCTCCGTTTTCAGAAAAGCCTTGTGTGCTGTTGTGTGAGAAAAACCTCAGATTGGGGAAAAAATATCTCACTGGTCTACCCAGTCTGGGGACGTCTCCCTTCAGGTCCCTCCCTTACTGGGAGGGGACCTGCAGAGACCGGCACCACAGGTGTCTGATTACCTCTGCTTGTTTCCGGAAAATGGCTGTTGAGGTAACAGAGTAAACACAGAGTAGGAGTACGTCTGTGGAGAAGGTGGAGAGCTGCAGTGGTCCAGTAAACAAGCACTGCAGAATTAATAGCTACAGCAATACAGGGCTTAAGACATGATGATTAAGCAGCTGGATCATAGCCAGCTCTAGCTAGCATGCTAACGTGTGATTAGCAGTTCATTCACACTCAAACACATAGGGTTGAATTCAGTTAGAAACAAGGACATTTTCATTCACTTGTACAGTCAAAGCTGAGCTTATAACTGGCACTCTTGTTATGCTTTGTAAATGTGTTCATCCAGTTTTGTGATATCCCAAATTAAACAAGAAATGGAAACAAAAATGTGAGCAACAGACATTCTTCAAGATTAAAAATGAAAGAATAAATGAACCCAGCAAAAGGCAATAATAGCAATATTTCTTTGTTATTGTTATAATTTAATATCGGAGAGACCTAAAATCCTAAACAAAAAAAAATTAAGCACATTTTTCTAAGATTGGTCATACTTTATTTCACTCATGCCACAAAAGATTATACAAGACCAGTGGTATTTGATACACAGACAGTAAATCTCCTCAGAGGTTGCACTGACAGACAAGGCTGTGATGTAAATTATTCATGTACATGTGCCAGATCATGTAAACAGATTAAAAAAAAAAAAACAAATATAATCAAATCTAACATACAGTCCCCGACTGCGTCACCATTTCCCTCCTACTGCATATTCAGCTGAGAGTTTTTTCTAAGAACAGGAAAATAAATGACAGTGACAATGGCAGCATAACCTCTGTACTGGTATGTTAAGTGATTATAATTACAGTCACACCAGCTGTTATGTCTTGGGGAAAAAAACACATAGCTTGTGCACATACAGTATCCACCTAAAAACCACACCCAGGAATGATCTGCCTCAGGAATGAACACCTTTGCCCCATAACAGGATGGAATCTGGACAGACTTACAGAGATAGAGATAGCTTTTTACAGTGTTGTATGAAATTTGGTAGTTACTTAACTGTACTATTTATTAGCATAATTAAAGCCTACCACTACTTAGAAACAAACAATGCATTGTTTACTGTAAGCTTTTTTCTTTGGACAATGCATACAGTATAGTAGGATTACATAAACCACATGCTCTGTGGAAAAAAATCTTGTGTTGCAACTTCTGCACTGTAGCAACAGGGAAAACACATGTATTACTCCCTGTGACCTAAATTATACCAAATAAGATTATAAAACCCCAGTCCACAAATTAGAATCCATGACCTGTGAAGCCATCTTTAAGACTTCATGATCAGCTGGTTAAATTCCCAAGTGGAGAGAAATACCCATGAGTCACATGAGGGGAAAAGAAGATGGTGCACTGCTGTGAATGTAAAAATATGTGCTACAACTGGTTTTAGCCTTTAAGTGTTTGTACTGCTCATGTTAGAGGACCCTCACCGTGCAATCCAGTTTGGGATAGTAGGGTGTGTCCCCGATGAGGTCATCCTCAGGTGGTGTGATGCGTAGGAAGTCCAGGTGATCAGGGTGTGGAACACGGGAAAGGGGTTCTCGAGGGTCATCGCCATCCAGCATCCAAATATCATCCTGACGCAAGAGGGAGTCTTCTGCATAAACACACACACACACAACTGCAAGGTAATTATCACTGTGTTATGCAAAGAATTAGAGCATGGAAAAACACAGCAGCACAGGAGGTCTGATCAAGTGTTACAATCAGCATGGACTGAGGCAGGCAGGCTGCTTTCCTCTGTAACCTGTACGGGTAACACAATTTGTAGAAAGCAGGCATCAGAATCTTTTAGTCAGAGAGACTCCTGTGTAGAAGTAGAATCAATTATTTTTTATCTGCACTTTTTTGACCCTGTTTCTTTTAACTCTAGCAGAAAGCCACACTGATCCAGTAAGACAAAATGGCTGCAGAGCAGGTGTCTCAAAAACAAATTTTGTCATCCAAAGGCTCTGTAGGAGAAGAAATAGACGACTTTACCTTAGTTTAGAGTGGGTGAGAATGCCGTCTCCTGACCATGTGAGGTGTTGTTGAAATTGCTTTTCTCCCCGTCTTAGTACTCGCAGCAATAGCCTGTGTACTGAGGGTAACACCATGTAATTTGTTCGGGGCATCGCACGAGGAAGGTTCTGCTGGTTCAGGCTAGGTTTGCACTTAATATACTTTAAAAGGTGCTTGAAAATGCACCGAATAAATTCAGTATCTTTAGCACACTGTGTCAAAACGACACAGAGCGCAAGAAAGTACCTGTTGGAGGTTTTATTCAGTTTTAGCCTCGTTTTCCAAGCAGTCCTTACCTTGTTTGGTGCCTTATATGGTGAAGGTCACCTGTGGTATTTAATTGGATATTGTATGGGAGTGTCTGTCATGTGCACAGAAACATCATATATTATACCTTGATACCTACACTCACCGTCTTAAGAAGCAGTGATGCAAGAAAAAGGGGCAAAAAGCCAACAAAGCACAATTTAAGGGACATGGAGCAACAGTGAGGTGAAAGAACAAGGAGGAGACAAAGAGAGTACAAGATCTTGAAGCTTGATGACCTCATATTCCTCCAGTTGTAAAAGAACACCCTGACCTGTTTGGGCAAGAAACAAAAATGCACATCACCTCTTGTTCAATGAGATGCTAAAATATTCCATCACCTCAGTATGTAGCAAGTACCCCTAAAGAAGCCATGTAGTTTTACTGCTGACACCCTCCCCCACACACAAAGAAAACTAGATTGGGGGCTCACTGAAATGTGGAAAAGTATAAACATTGAAATTCAGCTTCTGTATTCTGCCACAATCAGTCATTATAAGACAGCAGCGATGCCTGCAGTCCTCCCAGTTGTCTGGGACTTTGAGAGCAGGAAAAAAGTAAGACTAGATTAATAACGTTTCATTATGATAAAGCAGCACTGCACGGTCCTGCAGTGGGAACTGTTGACTATAGGCTGGGATGGTTCCAAATGCAAAGCTAAGCTCAGTCTGGGCCAAGGAGAGAAACTACTGATCAGAAACAGTCTCTCCACAATTCCTGATTTGTAAGCAACTCTTGATATGAGTTTGTTCTTTCACACCTCCCAAAACATTGCTATTCATGGCTAAATAATCTTGAGCACTTGCTTGTGTACATTATGTGTGGCTACGATGGTCCACACTGCCACCCTCTGGACAGGGAGAAGAAATGCATGTGCACACTGCAGTGAAGTTCTGCTGTCACTACTGTATGCTAGAAATATGACCTAGAGAATTAACGTGCAACACTGCAAAGTAATAACAAACATGCAAATATGTACAGACACATGCACATACATATTGAGCTTAGGTTCACTGCCTCTGGGGGAACCTTGGTGCTTATTGTTATTTAATCTCCCTCCCCACTGTTTTAAGAGCTGATACTGAATCACAGTGTCAACAACTTCGAGAACAAGGGGCAGATGGGATTGAGTTTGTCTGGTGAATGCCATTGGTTTCACACCAAGTAATGCACTATTAACTGGATCATCCCAACCAAGGCAACACCAATCCACCAAATACTGTCAATTTATATACCTCCATTGCTTTTAGCTAGAAAGGAGGATCACTAACTTTTATTTAAATCGTGAAAAATGCTGGTTTCATAAATCCCCCTGCTGCATTTGTGCCTGTCATGGCCATTTTTCTACACAGGCTTGTTGGCTGTGCACAGCTCTCAAACTGGCTGATTGACTGAATGGTTTTGCGGTCAGTGCTGAGGTCCATGTAGATGCAGTTACAAGTGCAAACTCAGTGATACTGTGAGCCCAACTTTATATTCATAGTCATTATTTATTTCAAATGCAGTTCTGAAAGCTGAAGGAACAGGGAGTGTCTTCACTGGGTCTGGCAGGTCATTGACTAGAAGACAGGAAATTTGGTTAATCCGCCCACTATTGTCCACTGTATACCGGTAGTGTGGAAAAGTAATTTATTAAGGAAAACAAGTTATGCAATAAATTAGAAGGACCTGTGCTCTGTTTCTCTACAGTATTTGGCATACAGCTCTGAGCAACAAGCTCTGTTAGCCTGTTTTGGCAGAATCCACTTCATTATCCAAATAGAGCTGGTCCTTATCTGCATTAGATGGAACAACATTGCATGGCAGTGCACTTTGTGCTGAATGACAGCTAGGGGGGTGATACCTCCTCGCTCTGCACTGATCAGTTTCATATGACCTTAGTGCAACATATTTGGTAATCTGATTACGGTTTTGCCTGCCTTATGTCAAACAGTAAAATAACAAGGGAATTAAGGAAGGGAGAGGTAATGGGAGAATGAGCTCAAGACGCATACAGTATGGCCAATTGGCCTGATAACAGTTTTTTAAAGCCTCTACAATCAGTATTTTCATAATAGTAATGGAAAAATTATTAGGTGTCACTGTGAACAATTGTAGTAAAAAACCCAACAGATTGTCGTCACTGGACATTATATTTTCCCTCAGCTCTACATAAGTTTTATTGTTTCTGCTAGTGGATTGTTTTGGTTTTATGGCCCACAACTTTGTTTTGGTTCACCATCACTGCTCTCTTCATCATTTCCAACCACAGGCAGCCATTTTCAACAACAAACAACTCTAAAAATCCACAGTTTCCCTTACAAACTTGCTTAGACCTTGTTTCTGTTGCCGCTTAACTGGCCAGAAAAATCTGTTATTGCAAGTTTTAAGTTTTTGTTCAATTGTAAAATAGTATTCTAGTCAAAAAGCTGATAAGAAAAAAATGCTACACAAAAACATTAAGACAAACTAATTAGCAGACATTAGGTACAACACATACACACACCTTTACAAAAGTCATGTGGTATTCTGTTACACAGGCTGCAGTACAGGAACATTAGCACATGAAGAAAACCAGAGAATCAGTTACTTTTAAAATGACCATTCCTGACTTCACTACTTTCACCGAGTACATTTAAATTAATGCTGAAAAAGTGCTGCTCATGTCATTGTTATCACGAGCCTGGGCAAGCGTACGTAGTAAGGCCTTTTCAAAGCATCAGAACAACAACAACAGCATCAACTGGGATTGTGCAGTTTGGAGTGATTCCAGTAAAGCTGTATGAACTTCTGCCATTCAGTTCTTGTTCTGCTCAACGTGCAACAGGGCACAGACCCACATGATCAAATGAACTAAATACAAGCTGGAAAATGAAGAAAGACTAGTCAGTGGTCACTGATAAAAAGTCACACTTGTATAATCACTGTGGCTTTGCAAACATTAATTTTGAGTGTTTAATTCCATTTATTCTGTCATTGTAAATTTGGCATAAACCAGATTATATAATGACTAAAAAGAGTTCTGTAAATAAGAAAATTCTAATCCTTCATTCTATAACCCTTGTGCCTGCTAAATCCCTTTGTCAGCTTCCTGTGAACTCGATGGATGTGAACTTAGGTAAGTGATAGCCAGTCTCTCACAGTCAGCACTGTCCTCATGAGAACCCTGGTCAACTTGGAGCCTTTGGTCTGGGATACTCCTACTAATCTCTGCCTCCCCTGCAGCACTTAAAGAGATAAAATGGGTCACACTATTCTCAGGCCCTGCTTGCCCCTTATACAACTGTGCTGGGTAGTTTTTAATTTGTCATCAGATGTCAAAGCGAAGACAAAAACACGGCACTCAAAACCAAACAGGCCAGCATAAGACATTTTGCAAAACAATGCCTACTTTTCAGTCCAGTGAGTTTAATAAATACCAGTTGAAGTGATGATGTAAAAACTCCCTTTGTATAAAATGTTTGTCAGTTACAGAGTAATTACTAGAGCATTTCCACAACCACCTCAAGCAACGTGTCTGACACACAAATAATCTCTCTCAAGGAATCTTTTCTTGTTCTGTTTTTCAAAATCCAGTATCACTGATGCTGGACGAAGGGCATATTCTGACAAATGTTTCATGTTAATGAAATGACGAAAGCACTGATGTCAATGTTTATACCAAGGCAGGGATTTCAAACATAAATCAGTGTGTTCAAAGTAGTGTAGGAACAATGTGATTTCTGAAGACTCACCTGTAGTTGTTGAGTTACCGGAGGAATTCCACTTGGAGTTGCTTGGCCACCTGCTGAGGTTCAGGTCTAGACGTGTTACGGTACGCTTGTTTCCGTTCTTGTTGATGACCTCAGTGAAGATTCTGGGCTCATCTGTGTTACTGGAGCTGTCTCGATCAGGAGCTACATCATTGTCTGACAGCAATACAATGCGGTGGTTGAGCTGCGGGCTTTCCTGCTTGGAGAACAGAGGGGACAGGACTGGAGACATACTCTGGAGGCTGTTTGAGGAGGGGAAAGATGCATTGAAGACCCCAGCGAGAGAAGGTGAAGAGGGGCTCTTTGTGTGGGACCTGGCTGGGGGTGAAGGACTGATAGTGTTGAACAAGGGCAGCTGTAGCCCCTCAGACAGCTTGTTACTTGTCTTTTCTCCACTGATTCCCAGCAGCTGGTCTCTATTTGGGCTTATCAACTCTCCATATCCCTGCTGGCAGCTGCTAGTCCCTGGATGTGGCATGGTAGGCCCTGATCTATCTGAGCTTGTATGGCCAACATGTTGCACTCTCCCTTCCACATCCTGCACTTTGGCCACCACCCTTACTCCGATATACCTCTGGTTGATTTCATTGTACATGTCCTGGGCCGTCTTGACTGCTAATGCAGTCTCAGATAATGTCTCAGTCGGAGAATCAAACCTTTTTATTGGTCGAAGATTACTCCCACTTTCCCGGCGGGTTAGACCCTCCATCAGGCTGCAAGAAGATGACTGGTAACCCAGCTCACCATCATACTCTGAGAAGTCATTATAAAAATCCATGTCAGGGTCAAAGTTCTGGTTGTCCACAGTGAAGTCCAAGCTTTCACAAGCAATCTGGAAGGGTTCCTCCATTGGCAGGACAGGATTAGCAATTTCGCTGACATAAGAGCCAGCCATTGGATTGTCAGAGACATGGACAGAGGTCGGGGTACCTGGGATTTGTGTCGCTACTGGGGCTGCACATGCAGACACACTGTTCTGAACAGGAAGCTCAATATATGAAGCTCCATCCCTAACAGTCTTTTTAATTTTGCCAGGTAGAAAATCCTCAACACCGAAAAGCTTCCTGCTTCCCAACTGTTTCATTTTCTTGCTCTTGGATATAGCTCTCTTATGCTCTGGAGACCTTGAGAAAGGACAGTTTCTGCTGCTGAGAACATGACTTCCAATGAGAATGTAATCCTGGAGTTTCCCATCCCAGTTACCCATCCTGACCTTGTTGGCGCAATCCTCACACAGTGATAAGAGATCTGCCAGCAACTGGTGGTGCTCCATTGCCAGCCAGCAGAGCTTTGCAGCAGCTTTCTTTGTTGCCTGCTGGGAGATGAGTTGTTTACCTGAGGAGTCAGAAGTCTGGTTTCTTTGTTCGGACATGGTGAGATCCTGCTTCCCCCAGTCATGGTCATTACTGGCCTTTGCTGAGTGAGAAGCGCGGCTCTTGTATTTGAAGCTTGGGGCGCACCTCTTGGGAAAATACAGGCTGGTGTTACTTAGCTCAGGGATGGGTGCATACAGGAGCAAGATAGTGTGTGTGCCCTCCATGATGGGTGACATTTTAATTACTTAAGCACTCCGAGTAAGTAGTCAGCCCCCAGACTGAGTGAGTGGGTTCAGGCTGCAGAGGAGGATCTCTGGCTATTCATCACCTGGCCTCTCCAGATGCTGTTTTCTGTTAGTGACAATGCAGCACACATTAATTGCCAAGTGCTTGCTCAAGGGGGATTTGTTGGGTTTTCCCTATGTAATAATAGTGATAACAGTAAGGTCCAGACCTTACTTTGTAAAGTGTCCTGAGATGAATTTTATTGTGATTTGGCACTATACAAATAAAATTTGATTTGATTAGATTAATGAGGCTGACTCTGGATGCATGCCCTGCTAGAGCTTCTTCTTGACTCCAAAAAGCCTTTTTGTATTATTGCACAAGTTCAAGTTTAAAATAAAATATAATCTTTAAAATTTCCAGATAGAATGCACAGTCTCTCAGAGCTCGGGCTACAGGCAGTTTGGAAGCCAACAAAAGACTAGTTTTAAGCACTACAACACAAACTGCTTCTTTCCCAGCAGTGCCAGGCTACCTCACTGTCAAGCATTTGTTAGTTAAAACAAATAATAACCCCAAATTCGCGTTGTTTAATCTTGAGTTATTCTTATTATACACGTAGCTTACTAAGGCTATTCTATTTTAATCCTCATTTCCTGCATTGTTGTATAAGTAGATAAAACATTTCTAAAACGCATTTCATCAACATTTCTCAAGCTGCCGCATAAAACATGCCAGTGTCCCACAAGGTGACGACACATGCAGAGCCCCGTGTTAGGCTGCCATCACACGTTTACAAGCAAAACACATTTTACTTGTGCTCCAAATGATTCCCTCATAAATTCGCAACATATCTCGGCTGTTCACATTATAACACTGGCCACTGTAATCTCGTGTCACCTTGCAACAAACACGAATGCGTTTGTCAGTGTTAAGATGGCAGCATAATATCACGACGCTTCGGGCTGCCATACTCCTGCCCACTTACCACTGAAATCAACAAATAGTTAGTTAAATGTATCATAAATTAAAATGAATGGATAAAAACTCCGTAGTTGCCTCATATCAGCCTTAGTTTGATGTTCTATTTTGAATAAGAAGCTGCAAGCGTGTCGCAGTCAACTGCACCTGCAGCAGCTGAAAGTTCAGCATTGGTTGGGAAAACATAAACAGTTTCTTACCCCTTCAAGTGGCAAACATTTCTTCTCATCTCTGTGCCGCAGCCAGCCAACGCTCACCACTGCTTCTCCGGGCTCGACTGTGGTCATTGACGGAGGTTTGGTCCAATAGGAAAACTCACCGCTGGCTCCCTGCTTCGTGATTGGTGCTTCATTGTTTCTCCACATCCCACATTTTTGAGTCAGTGCAGCTGCAGCTTGCAGGTAGGCCGAGTTTAGTAATTGCATGAATGAGGGAAAAAGGAAGGTATAGCTACAACTACGTTTGAATGGGGCAAGATTTTCAGAATAAGGCTAAATATTTTAAAAGCATGAAGTTTAGAAAACTTCTGAATAGGAGCATGAATGTCCTTGAGGAGCTGAACATTTTGATAGCTGAAAGTATGCAGAAAGTATGCTGAACATTTTGATAGCTGAAATAGCTGAAAGTATGCTGAAGTAGAATTTTCCCATTCATTTGAATGGGGCATGATTTTCAAAATAAAGCTGAATATTTCAAAAGTATGAAGTTTTGAAAACTTCTGAATAGTACTATGAATGTCCTTGAAGAGCTGAACATTTTGATAGCTGAAAGTATGCTGAAGTAGAATTTTCCCATTCATTTGAATGGGGCATGATTTTCAAAATAAAGCTGAATATTTCAAAAGTATGAAGTTTTGAAAACTTCTGAATAGTACTATGAATGTCCTTGAAGAGCTGAACATTTTGATAGCTGAAAGTATGCTGAAGTAGAATTTTCCCATTCATTTGAATGGGGCATGATTTTCAAAATAAAGCTGAATATTTCAAAAGTATGAAGTTTTGAAAACTTCTGAATAGTACTATGAATGTCCTTGAAGAGCTGAACATTTTGATAGCTGAAAGTATGCTGAAGTAGAATTTTCCCATTCATTTGAATGGGGCATGATTTTCAAAATAAAGCTGAATATTTCAAAAGTATGAAGTTTTGAAAACTTCTGAATAGTACTATGAATGTCCTTGAAGAGCTGAACATTTTGATAGCTGAAAGTATGCTGAAGTAGAATTTTCCCATTCATTTGAATGGGGCATGATTTTCAAAATAAAGCTGAATATTTCAAAAGTATGAAGTTTTGAAAACTTCTGAAGAGAAGCATGAATGTCCTTTGAAGAGCTGAAAATGCAGGTGTGCTGTACCTGCTCTTTGAAGGCCCGGTTTGACGGCATTTCTTAAGAAACACTCGGTGGCTAACGCGTATCACTGCTTTTCTTTGCAAACTGTTTACCAAGTTTCAATTCGTAAGATGATTTTCGTGAAGCATATTTATATCTAGCACTATGTTTTTAGTCCGGTGATATTTGTAGCTGAGTACATCATAGCATTGATGTACACTTCCTTGAGAGTGTTTTGTGTGGGCTCTTTATATACTGTAACTTACACAGGTGTGTGTCTTTCTAAGCTGCCAAGTCAATAGCCAGTCGAGATCTAGACACATTCCAAGAGCAATTAAAGCAAGCAGAACGCACCTAGCCACAATTTGGAGAGCCACAGCAAAGGGTACTTTGTAAATAAGAGACTTTGGATTTTGACTTTTAAACATTTTGCAAAAAAAAAAAAAAAAAAAAAAAAAAAATCAGTTTTCACGTTATCATTATGAGTTACAGAGTGTAGATTTATGGTCAAAAATGGCAGATGTTATCCAATTATTAATTCTACACTGAGATGGTGCACAAAAAGTGAAGGGTTTGAATACATTTTAAGGTGACTTAAGTAGTTGTAATATTTAGGTCACAGCACTAACAGCAGGGGGCAGCATCACATCATGTCTGAGGAGCATATGTGTTTATTTAGTGTAGTTGTGGATATATGCTTGGGCGGTGGTCACATATGGTTCTGGGTAACCTGTGCTAACCCTGTTATATGTTAGTGAAGGCTTTACATTTAATCTCGTTTAACAAATACTTTAATGACCATTCAGCCAATCAAAACGTTGTAAATAATTAAATGCATGTATAATAAAGTGCCAGTTATGCAGCTTAGCTGCAATGTGATCGCCCGCTTTTTAATAGGCTTTATTAATGAAGTGACATAAACTTGACTTTCTCAGCTTTTCACTGACATTTTCTCCCACAGTGTAGCCTAATGCTTTAGCTACATCATAGCAAACACCACGTGGACATTATGATTTGGGATACAAGTAAGGAAAGTCACTTTTCCCGTTTAGGGGTCGCCACAGCGAATCGTCACACTGACGACTCGCATGTTGACATTTGGCATGTGTTTTACGCCGGATGCCCTTCCTAACGCAACCCTGATTCGAACCTTAACCACTGGCCTACCAGGGACGGCTATGATTTGGGATACAAGTAATATCTGAAAATGTGTTGACATGTTTGCACATGAATAACCTTTTCACGTCGACAGTGGTGATAACATAGGCTATTTTTCTGTATAGAGACATGTGGCCTCTAATGCTAAACTATGCCCATCTTTGGTCAAAAAATCAACTGTGTGTGCTATGGCTCAGCTTCCATTATTATTTACGGTGTGCCGTACTGCTGCTGTGACGTCTATGCAGTGGGGCACTGACCATGGTGCTGATCTGGCCAGCTCTGGGGATAGCATCGACAATGAATGTCCTGGACCCGGTAGAAACGCGCTGTCGATTTCTTTTTTACACATTGGCTGTTTTCTGGGAAGCAGTAGCCAGGAGACCGGGCAGGAAAACAAACCACAGCGATATCCATCAGATAGGGGTTATATGACTCAAATTAACACACTTGCGTTTGAATATTCGCGCTTTCACTGTTGTATAACTAAGGTCTGTCGCTGACGTCGAAGATAAAGACCCAGCTGCTGTGCCTCGGCTTCACGACGTGGCTGCTTCCCGTTTCCACGCAACACCGTCCTCAGATGCTCCAGCCCACCGATGCTGACACACACTCCTCCTCTGTGCGGTGAGCGGGGGTCGAGCACAGGGGCTTGAGTAACACAGGCTGCGGTAGTCTCCCCGTTGTATGGCTGCGGATTGGCTATATGCTAATATCGACAGGAGAGAGGAGCCAGCGGAGGCTTTACGGGTCTGACCAGGCTCATTTGCAGCCATGGCTGAAGGTGGAGAAGGAGAGGATGAGATTCAGTTCCTCAGAACTGTAAGTACATTTCCTGCCGCTTGTACTTGAAGCGCTGCTCCAGTGGCTGTGGAAATATGTGTAGTCCGTTTGTTTCGGATTATTACTGTCGATTGCCTATCACTTATCTCGCTCCACATGTTATCATATCCTATAGCTTTTGATAACCCTGCGCCTTCTTGCACATCTTAGAGGTGAGGATAAAGCCCGATTGTTTTGCGCATCGCTCATTGACAGCTATTGTCTTTTCTGCAGGCTTTGCCTTAGGAAGTTGACAACATTATTTCCCCTTTCAGGCAAAACTCATCTGTGTATCTTACTGCTGTTTTAGGTTGTCTACAATTTGACAAAAGTTGTCAGTATAAGCACTGTGATTTAACTGATTTAGCTTTAAATAACGGAGTCCTTGTAATATCACTAAAATCTGCAGAAGGGAGTTCAGAACTCATGTATTTTTATGTGTAATATATATTCAAACGTGGCAGTATGGCAGCCTACAGACAGGCAGCTGCCCAGGGTTACTGTGTAGCAACAAAGGTCTATGCAATCAGCATTTTGTAATACATACAGTGTTGATGCACCCAAACCAGATAAACAATGCTCCCTACAGGCTCTATTGTATGCTCTGAAAAAGAGGCTGCAGTTGTGGATTAAACAGGCTGTAGACTATTCTTGCCCTTCTTGGCTCTAGTATCACACACACTATAGTGAAAATATTGGCCACTTAGTAAAAATGAATACTGAAGCTTGAAAATATCTGGCAGTAATTGAACAGAGAGGAACAGTTTCCACTGTTGGCAGAGATAAATGACATGATGTTCTCATCTATGGTGAAATAAATTGAGAGCCATATGAGAATACATACAAATCTAGGATAGATGAAGGAGCGATGTGCTGGAGGTCTTCCAGATAGACCCTGAGACAGCAGGAGGTGTTTGGTTGCACATATGACTGGCACTGCTGCTTGTGGTTTCCCTTTATGAATCTGCTCACAGATGTGCAACCTGCTGTAGTTTGAGGCAAACGGAGCATAGATGTTCTTATGTTTATGTCACTTATAGTGTCATTCACATAGTTTACAAAGTAGCCATAATATACCCAACAAGTAAGTGTCAGAATGTTAAAAGGGATCCTAGAAGACAATACAGGCCCACGACATTGCCTTTAGGCATTAGACAGGCATAAACAACATACAGTAAGTGATTGTTATCATCTTGACTAATTCAGTGTTTGTATTGTGCCGAAAAGCTTTTCTCTTCCCAGGAACAGCAGTGATCTTTAAAATGTCCTTTCCTTTCACTCAGAAAAAGCGAATACCTCATCTTCCAGCAGCCCCCCAACCTTTTAACCACAGCACATAGAGGTCATCACATCAGCATGCCTGCCAGTCCACAAAGCGCTGACATTTCAGCATCACTTCACCTCTTTTCTTGGAGTGAACTCAAATGCCACCAATCCACAATGAGGATTTTTTACTGACAAGCTTCCTAAGAGTTGTAGATTTAGTAGCTTTTTGCTTGCTTGACTTTTGCTGTTCAATTTGTTGGATTTACAGTGAACATTTTTTAGTCCTCATGTAACCCTGGGAGAAGAAGGAAGATGGCTTTGACTATTGGCAAACTGCTATTGCTTTAAAAAGGGCATAGCACCTTGTTGCATCCCTTCACAAAGGGAAGCAGCTGACAGGCTGGATGGGCCTGGGATGGGGGCGCAGCGAGCGAGCGCGGTGTCCATGTGTGTAAAAGTGAGCTTGTGTGTTGAATGCAAATGTGGAGCTGCGTGGTGCAGTCAGGCTGCACCAGATGTGCCAGAGCAGAAATAATTCACTAGTCCAAGCAGTGTAGAGGAGCAGAACAGACACACACATGTACCTTCCCACACATACAGAGACACATTTATCCACAGCACAGGACTAAAGACAGCCCTGCAGAAACACACACTGATGCTTATTGAAGCACATGCATACACTCACTGGCACTAAACTTGCCCTTACAATGTATCACATGGTGGCGATCGGTCTGTGAGGATATGTATTTCTTGCTGCATCCAAATGTTGCCTGTTATTGGCGTCAAGGAACTTGA